CTAGTGACAGCAGCTTCAGCTTCCTTGCGTGCGTGAATGGTCATTTTTCCTACAATTTTTTAGCTCCACAGAAAAATTTTTGTTGAAAAATTTCAGAAAAGAGTTTTATTTGAGAAGAATTCATTCCACAGTCGTAACAAACATTGTGTAAAAAAATACCGGCAACACTGCGAGCTTCCTGGATTTGTTTGTCTGCTCTCTCTTGGGCATCTTGGATAGCCTTTTGAGCAGCCTCATCTAAAAGCAATGCAATCGGCAAATTTGAAAATTTTATGAGATTTAAAAGCTTAAAAGAGTTGGAAAGGTATCCAAAACATTAAAAAAGGAAAACATCTGCCTTGCTGTTTGCGCAAAAAAAACAAGTTTTTAAGAAAAATCGCAAAAAAGTTGCAAAAACTGAAAAATTTTAAATTTTCAATGTTCATTAAGCTGGGCCTTACCAGCAGCACGTTTAGCTTCCTCTGCTTCCTTGGCTGCCTTTTCCTGAGCATCCTTTAGCGCTTGCTCAGCTGCTCTATCTGTAAAAAAAACGTTTTTCATCATTTTGTTTCCCTACAAGGGCCATATATTCGGCAAATTTAGTTGAATTTTTTTCCCCAAGAACAACAATCCCTCATAGAGAGGAAAATTTGAGGTTTTAACGGAAATCTACCTGCCGCTTGTTTGGCCTCTTCAATTTGCCGCTGAGCTTGCTCTTGTGCATCTTTCGCGGCCTGTTCTCGAGCTTCCTCTTAAAAAAATGCTTATTTTCAGAGGGATAGCTTAAAACTGAGCTATTTATGGACAAATTCAATGGGATTCAACAAACCAGCAGCTTTTTTAGCATCAGCAACCTGTCGTTGCATGATCTCATAGGCTTGTCGCTTAGCGTTTTCAGCTGCCTCATCTGCAAATAAGGTAAGAAAGTAAAATAAAGCAACTGAATATTACATTCGTTTTGATAATAAGTTCCTCGTCCTGAACTGTCCATCTCGGTTAGCCTAAATAGACAATTCAAAATGAAAGGACCTGCTTTCTTTCGAATCTCATCGATCTCACGGTCTGCTTCCTCTTGCGCTTCTTGGCGTGCTTTTTCGGCAGCTTCATCTGAAATTACGAGTTGTTTGCTGAAAAACTAGCATACACGATACTTAGCATCTGACAGCTCAACGTATTTTACTTTCTCAGTACTACTATGGAAGCTCTGAGAAAGATGACAGCAGTCAAGCTTAGTTCTATCTTGAGTGATTTTTTAGTGTTTTTGCTTGATTTCTGCAAAAATACGGCATAACGGAAAAACATTTTGTGAAGTTCTCGATTTGTATAAAATCAATTCCAAAATCATGAGATTTAACAAACCGAAATTTTAGAAATTTTTAATTTTTGAAATTTGTTTGTAACATTTTTTGATTTTTTAGGTTCTTAAATATGAATTTCAAAATTCTTGAAGGATTTCACAGGAAAAATTTTAGCAGTATGCGGAGTTAAAAACAGGAAAGAGGTTGCACCTCCTTCTAATCTAAATTTGGTTCCATTCACTCCGGTGTTTTAAATTTTGCGTTCCTTATTTATTTAACATTTTTCCAGTAAGCTCTACCATGATTTTGATCCCTTAGAGACTTTTTACGCTTAAAATAACTAAACCTCCTAAATAAGTTTAGAGCTTCCAGGTAATGGAATTGAGTGACCTGCAAGACGCTTAGCTTCGTCTGCCTTACGTGCGGCCTCTTCTTCTGCTTCCTTTTTCACAGTTTCAACTTTCGCGCCTGAAAAAAAGACGAAGAATTGTTTTTTGCCTATTATTGGTAAATATGACATTTTTTAAACAGTCCTGGCAAGAATTTGAACAAATACAACTCTTACTCGCACTGGCGAATGCTTCCTGGATCTTGCGATTCGCTTCTTCTTGCGCCACTTTTCGTGCATCATTGGCCAATTTTTCTACAACAATCCGGTCAGTTAACAATGCACTTTAATTAATTTGGAAATATCTCTTACAATTTTGTTAACTATTTCTATACACTGTCGCACGGTTTTCAAGTTTTTTTCAAATTTTTAGTGAAATTTTCTTACATTTTTTATAGAATTATAGTTTTTATCCTTCAGCTTTCTTTTTAATAATCTTGCAGCACTTTTTGCAACAGCATATGAATGACTCATATTAAGGAACGCCCGAATGAACTTGCAAAAGTACTGGTGTACTTATATAAAGGGAAAGGTGCAAACAAAAATAAAGCTCGGACAGGCCTGGCATAGCTGTAGAGGTAAAACTCAGTAGCACCGCAGCTCCAGACTGTTTGCCCGGAAGATCCCAGTAATACCTAGTTTACGGATTAAAACTCAATTTACCCTCACATCTTTGTGAAAGACAAAAGCGCTTACGCGCCAACAGCAAACATTCGCTAGTAAGGCTAACGATGACTCCCTCGAGAACGCTTAGAAGGTTATTTTCAATTTTCAGCCATACGCTACTTCAAGTTTACCATCGAAACGAACGAACGATTAGGGAGATTAGCTTTTCTACCGATATAGTCGAACCGTCAACCTTTTGCTTCAATTTACGGCGCATTACACACACTGGCGTTTGGTTTAATAACATTATCATATATTATGTGTTAGAATGTGTAATTTTAATGATGTTAGTGAATAACTTCTCAATGATATCACTTATATCATATATGTAGTAATAGTAGTGATGTCGGTAATAATAAACCTATGCAAGGCTAATAAGTTTTTTGAATACCTGCTGCAGCTCTGGCTTCCTCAATCTTTCTGTTCGCTTCATTTTCAGCTTCTTTCTTTGCCTGTTCAGCAGAGAGGCCTCAAAAAATAAGGAGTATCTTCTTAAGTAAGCATATTAGTGCATCGAAACAAGACAACAAAGAATAACTGCGACGAAAATTTTCCTAACCTGCAGCTATCTTTGCCTCTTCGAGATCCTTGAAAGCCTCACCACGAGCTTCATCTCTGGCTTGCGCAATTGCTACATCTGAAAGTTGGAAGTTATTATATCAAAATTTCTTCTGACTTTAGTTAGAAGATCTAGGGATTACTGCTATTAAAGCACATATTGGATCAAGTTACTGTCGCCATTTTTGTTACTATTGTCGTTTTTATCATAATTGCCGTTGTCATTATCCAGAATTATTACTATTAGTGCATGACAGTCTTGCGAATTTCTTTTATCGGCAAATTCTGTAAATAGAGCAATCCCTCTATTTTTTCACAATTTTCATAAAAATTCACGAGCTCGCATTTTTTATAAGGGCAAACGAAATGCAAAAACATGAGTTTCCGTCACAACCAGTTCGTAATGCACCATTTCTGAGAAGCTCGCATAAAGTTCCCGAACTTAGATTTCATGTATGAATTTGAGCTGCTGAGTCTCGATTTTTTTCAGTTTAATCTCCAAAATGACCAACGGAAATCTGTGAAATGCAAACCAGCTTTTCTTTGGGCTTCTTCAATCATTCGGTCTGCTGCTTCTTGAGCTTCTTTTTTGGTCTGTTCGACGAGGAGATCTGAAAAACGTCGCCAGTGAGTCTGCCGTTACCCAATTTGTTTTAAAAGTTATTAAAATTTTAGATGACCTGAGGCACGGCGTGCTTCCTCAATCTGACGTGCGGCTTCATCTTGCGCCTCCTTTCGCGCCTTTTCAGCTGCTTCCGCTGAAATGAACAGTTATAGAAAAGTAGCTTTTTTTTTCAATTGACAGACAATGACTTTGCAAGGCTATCTTATAACAAATAATCCGTTAGCATGGAAAATTAAAGTGTTACCGAAAGCCAAAACCTGCTCTTTTTATTCATCTTGTATGAGAGACGGAGGCATCCAGAAATATTAGCCAAATAGTAGCAAGTACCAATGATATCTATTTGCAAGGTCGACCGATGGCTTTCTCCTGCGCAGGTCGCTCAAAAACAATCTCACGGCAAGTCCGACTCACTGACGAATGGCATCACCAGTTCACCATCGAAATGAGTTAATGAGCCGTAAAAGGAGGAATCAAACTCTCTATGCTTAGTACGAGAGCAGCGCTATTTATTACACAAGATGCACGCGTTTTGACGAACAAAATACTTGAGATACCAGAGCGGTTTTCAGTTTTCAAGGTGGAATTTTTCAAAGATCACCTATTATCCCGAAATTACATAAATGTATGTCAGAACGTTCTGGAAGGAGAAAAAACCTGCAGTTCGTCGAGCATCAGCGATTTGTGCAGCAACGAT